ATTGATCTTGCTAGCTATGTCCTTTGCCATGCAGAAGCTCTGCAATTTCATGCAATCCCATTTGTCCAACCTTTCTTTGATTTGTTGTGTTTCTGAGTCTCTATTAAGAAAATTTCAACCTGTGCCAAGGAGACCTAGGGTTTCTCCTATTCTACCCTGTAATGTTTTCAGAGTGTCTGCTTTAACTCTGAGGTCTTTGATCCATTTAGAGTTGATTCTGGTGGATGGGAATTTTTTTTGTCAAGAAAAATCTCAGATTTATGTTGGGCACCTTGTCAAATAAAAATGATTACTTTCTTCTCCTTCTGACTAAAATTGCCCTACTTGGAACTACTCACTTGCCTGAAATTAAGAACAAGTAGAAATAATGTTTACCAAGACACTGAATATCAGGCAATAAACACAAATTAAGTGAGCCTAAAGTAGTCCCATTTTACTCCCTTGAGGAGTGAAACTCCTTGAAGAGGGAATATCTGTATTATGCACAAGAACAAACAAAGCCTAACTTTCTATAGCTGAAGAGAAAGCAAGGCTCCTGTCATCCTCTGGGTCCTACACAGCTGAAGTCTGTATGACACAGGGCCAGAAATTAGTGAGTCAAACAAAGAAAGACATGAGATTTGCACTATCCCTTTTATATTTTCAACTGAGTTCTGACCACTATATACGTATGAGGAAACCCCCAAGGCCAGGGAAAGAACTGCCTTAAAAGATTAAAGAAGATGGTATTTAACACTAAGGTGGGTGCATCTCTTATAATTGGAGGTTTACTGAGCTTCTTGGATCTATAGATTGATTTATTTTCACCCCATTTAGAATGATGTTGACCTTATTTTCACAAAATATTTTCTGTGTTCTTTAACTCTCCTCTCATATTTTATACTCTGATTATACATATATTAAGTTGCTTGAGCTTGCTGCATAATGTGGTGATATTCTTATTGTTTTTCATTTTCTGTATGCTTGATTTCTATTGTTGTCATCCAGCTCAATAGTTTTTTCCACTCTAATATCTACTCTCTTGTTAATTCAGTCTTGTGTGTGTTTCATTTTAGAGTTCATAATTTTCTTCTCATGGAGTTTTAAATATATATTTTATTGCCTTTCCTTAACTTTTAGGCATATGGAATAGTTTTCATAACAGTTGTAATGAGGTTTTTAATAACTATCCTTTTGTGTGAATTCTAATATCTATATCAATGAACATTTTTTTCAATAATGATTTAGCTACTGGCTTTGGATCATATTATATATATATTTGGTCATTTTTTGCTATATACTAAACAATATGGATTTTATTTTGTTGCTTTCCCTTATCTGCAATAACTAGTAGATAACTAGGACAAGCAGAAAAGGTAAAAAACTATGTATATATGAACATATAAGATGATGCTAAGCGAAATGAACCCCAAGATAGGGCCATAAGAGGTTTTATCTTTGTTGCTGTTGTTTTTAATGTAAATGTTTTATTCCTATTTACTCCTTTTGTTCTGAGAACACAGTTGTTAAGTTACTCAAAGAGTTTTATTTCTTTAGATCTTGATTTTAAGTTTATTTTTAGAGCAAGAGAAAAGCAAATTTTAATTTAGGGATAATATTTTCCACTATTGGTTAGTCTTTTCTTGATATTCAGCCAATGACCTGTGAACTTTACATAAAACAGGCCTTTGTAGGCTGAGATCTTGTCTCAAAAATTGTTTTTAACAAGTTTGATATATCAAACTGTTGCTATTTAATCTTTCCTCTCATAGAGTCTAGAAATACTGATGATAGACTGTAGATATTGGCTTCTGTAGTCTTCAATGTGATTTGAAACTGCTTACTCTTCATTCATTCATGAATCTAGAACCAAGTGTTCACTCTTGATTCATGCATCCATTCACAAATCCAGCACCATTGGATTCACAGAATTACACATTTACAATTACTTTCTGATGTAATGCTTCATATTTTAAAAAATGATCATTAACAACCACAACTTTATTTTTTTAATAATGAAAAGAAAATAACTATTGGTTTAGTGGGCTTTTACTTATATTCAAAACTGGATGTTGCCTATAAAAATAATTAATATAAACCCAGAAATCTAAACATTTTTATAAATATAAGAGCTGAGTTTGCCCCCTTTTGGAAAAATTTTATTAGCATATGTCAGTTATATAAAGAGATTTTATTGTATATTCACATATGCATGCATATACTTTGGTCAAATTCTGCACCTTTATTACTCTTCTAATCCTACTTCCCTCAGTTTTTAAATCAAATTTTAACACATTTCATTATTCTATTTTCATGCATACATATAAACACTTCAATTATTTTCTAAGTTATTTACTACATGTATTTAGGAGTTGATGATCATATTATAATAGATTTTTGAAAATAATTTTGGTAGGATAAATGAATGAATACAGTTTGAAATTTAAAGACAAAACTAGGAATTTTTCAGCTAGCAAATTCTAAAGCACTCTAATATAATTTTCCTGCTTTTTAGGTTCCTCAAGATCCACTCAAGTTTTACAATAAGATTTACTTTTGCCACAGTTGCCAGCTATATTTGCCTTCTACCGATTTTTCCATGTCCTGCACCGCACAACGCATCTACCACTGTCGTCAGTGCGTCAGCCTGGAGAATGAGACTCAAAAACGGGAATCATTTTTGAAGTACAAGTGTTTACTTCAAAGGCTTTACAATTCAGAAACCAATTATGGAGATGACTCTCAGATTGCTTTCCTGATGCAGGTAAGGTCAACCATGGCAGAAATGTTTCTGTCTTCTAAGGGGCTATGCAGACATGATACACAGTGTTGCTGAACATACTCTGATTTGGGAAGCATCACCTTTGATGGTCTGATGAGGTGTATGTGTATTTAAGTACTTCGTTGTGCTCTGCAGACAGGTGAGCCAGATCTTATATCCTGCAAAGGAAGACAGACAATAAAAGGGGTGTAAGCTTCTGCAAAAAACAAACCAGAGTTTTCCAAGAAAAAATATTGGGAATCATACAAGTGTTTAAAAGTGCACACAGGCTAATTTGCTGGACAGAAAAGGCTTCCTTGAAGATGTGCCTTCTGAGACAAAAGACCAATGAAGAGTTAATCTGGTAGCCACAGAGAGCAAAGAATCACAGACTGTTTGGAGGCAATTTGAGTCCTGATTCTACTAGTTTTAGGTGAGTCTGAGACAGGCATAGATTTAATGATACTTATGATTGGAAATAAAGATGAGCTTAGACGTGGTTAATTAGTGTTCTATATCTGACAAAGATTACCATATCTGGAAAAACAACTTAAGGGAGGAAAGATTTATTTTGACTCATGATTTCAGTTCATGGTCAGCTGCTGCTCCCTTTACAGTAGCCAGGAAGGACATAGAGGAAGGACATGGGGGGGAGGGGGAGGGGGAGGGAGGGAGAGGGAGAAGAGGAGAGGGGGGGAGAGAGAGAGAGTCAGGTGGAGAGGTGGAGATAGACTATTCAACTAGACCTCCAACTATGCCTTACTTCCCAGTTTCCACCACCTCTCAATATCATAAAATTATGGATTAATTCACCCACAAAATCAGAGCTCTTGATGCAGTTATTTTCTCTAAGCCCCATTGACTGGAAGCTAAGCCTGGAATACAGAGCCTCTAGGGCTGTTTTCTGTCCAATCCAGAGCACCCTTATACCCTCTTTTGATGTTTGTTTGTTTTTCTTGGCTCTTTGAAAGAGGTGATGAGATATTCATTTCAATACATCTGTATTATATCTTTTAAAAATACATTTAGGGGAAAAACAAAGGAGGAGGTAATCATTTCAATACATCCATCAAGATTGTCTTTGCAGTTCCTTTTGAAGTGTATTCTATGTGACACTAAATACTAATAAAATATTATTTCAACTATTTTCATCCTTCCCTGAAGTAATGAGATTTCTCTGAAAGATATTTAAGTTTGTCTTTTTCCAAGAGAAAAGAATGATATGCTAACTGCTTGAAGTGTGTGTGAAAAATGCCATTTATTATCTTTTTATTATCTTTTCAATAGCATAAACTAGGGGGACAACAATATCATTCTGCAGATTTTCCTTCATAAAAAGCAAGTTGAGGGCTGGGAATGTGGCTTAGTGGGAGAGTACTTGCCTAGCATGCATGAAGCCATTAGTTCCTCAGTACCACATAAACAGAGAAAGCCAGAAGTAGTGCTGAGTACTACTTGAGCAAGAAGAAACTTGAGCAAAAAAAAAAAAAAAAAGAAGAAGCTTGCCTTGAGCAAAAGAAGCTGAGGGGGAAAAAAAAGCAGCAGCTCAGGGACAGTGCCTAGGCCCTGAATTCAAGCCCTGGGAGTGGCAAAAAACAAACAAAAAACAATATTCTATGTTAGGCACATCAAGATAATTAAATCTCAATTCCCCACCCCCACACATATTAATTTCTTATGGGAACTTTGAGGGGTACTCTTGTGCTACTAAAGGCATTATAGCTTAGGTATTCTCCCAGTATTACTCTATTTTCTCCAAAGGGAGAGAAAAAATGTACAGAAGATGATGACAAACATGATTACCCAAGCTCTTTTAGGACTCTAGGCATGTAGACTTTCTTTTTATGGGTTTTTAGGGGATGAAAGAGCCACCAATTCTGGTAGCAGTGTACAGAACTGCCTTGAGTTGGGCTGACAACTCAAACATGAGTGTCGTGGGGTGGGTTTCCTGGAGTAGTGTTCACAGAGACAGAAATAGGGCTGTAACTCATGTTAAAAAGGATGAGCATTATGTTGATCAATGGAGCAAATGCTATTGTTGATGAAAGTTATATAAGCAAGATATTGAAACCAAAGACACTGAATGACTTACAAAGTGATCGGTTTTAGAAATTTTTTTTAAATAAAGAATTTTTTTGAGATAAGGGCTTATTTTGCAGCCCTGGATAGCCTTGAACTCACAGTCTTCTTGATTCATTTTCCTCCCAAGACTAAGATTATAAGCATATGCCAAAACAACTGTGCTATAATTTAAATAAAATTATAATTTAAAAATCACTCTGATTTCACTATTGATGTTCACGTTCCAAATTCTTTTATACCCCTCTATTTATTTTACTTTTTATCATCTTTATTATAGAGGGGTTTCAATTCAACATGTCGATTTATGAGTACAGTGCATCATAATTAATGTCACTCATTTCATAACTCTCCCGTCTCTCCCAACCCCACCCATCCAATTTCTCTCTTTAAACAGCTGAAAGGAAAAGTAACATAATCAGTAGTTTGAAATACAGGCTGAGTATCCTTAATCTGCAAAACTGAACTCTAAAATTATCTAAAACCTAAAACTTTTGAGTCATGATGTGAGTCTACAACTAGAAAATCTGACAACTGATGTAAAGGGTCACAATCAAAACACATTTACAAATAAATTGTTTTATTACCAATTTCAAGTTACAGCATAAGTGCATATGAAATGTTATCTCATTGACATCTCATTAGATATATGTAAATTTTCCAAAACCCACAAACATCTGAAATTGTGAGATATTTCTACTTCTAAGTATTTCAGATAAGGTATATTCAATTAATATTAATGATTGCTCTATTGTATTACAAAGAGTAAAACTAAATGTATGTTATATCTCCTAATCCTGATTTTAATACCCATTTGAATGCACATAGAAATTAATTACCCAAAGTAAAAAAAATTACGAACCAATGAATATGATCAAATAAACATCCCCCTGGTATGATGGTGCCTTATGCCTATAATCCAAATTCTTATTTGTATATTTTCATCTCTTCATTTCCAGTTCATGTGTGAATGTCAAGGCAACCTAAAATAGGATAATTTTGTTTACATGGCAATAATCATTGACTAGAAAAGGAGGAAAGAAGAGTCATGAAAAGAATGGAGTTCCAAATATTTCTCTCTAGATTTTTGGAGGTCTCATTAAATATTTCAATATCAAATTTACCATTTTCTCAAGATTAAAGGGAAGGGTTGTATGAATGTAAAACAACTATTGTAACAATAATATATAATTGAAATTCTCTTTATATGTAGTATAAGTTTTTAAGTCCGTACTATACTTTGTTTTCCAAAAGGATAAACTGTCAGTGTTCTAAATGGTGGCAATACAGCAATGGGAAAGAGACAAGATCTTTACTCTCCTAGAGATTATATTGTGCACACATGGGAGGAGCAGGTATAGAGCACACAGATAGTAAAGAAGAAAACATTATGTTAGAAGTCTATCATGACCTAGTAAAGTTTGTGGGCAATGAGTATTTATATTCAGCACATACTGAATTTGAACATAATGGCATGCAAAGTAAAAAAAATGAAAGCTAAGATATATCAGAAATAAACATTTTACTTAAGAAGAAATTGGATATTTCACTGGTCACCCAGTTTTTCTGTAATTCCTACAGATGCCACTTAATACAATAGGTAACCACTGCAACAATGTCAAACACCACTTACAGGCAATGGCCAAGCAGATGTAGCATGTGCAAAAGTGACATTCCAATAAACAAAATGCAGTTTGTACAGTTTTGAAGTTAGTAATAGAATTGATGCGACACAAAAAAGCTCACATATTTGAACAAGGCAACATTTTGAATATAAGTAAAAATGTATGTAATATATTTACCTGCTTTCCTACACAAACTTTTTGAAATAATGGTTCTTTTTTTCAGTAAGTATGCTTTTGTGAAGCTTATATCAAACAATTCTAAATTCATACATGTGGATCTCAGAATAAAAAGTTCATTCTAAGTCTAAGAAGGTGGCTCATTGGTAGAGTGCTTGCCTTGCATTCATGAGGCCCTGGGTTCAATTCCTCAGCACCACACAAGCAGAAAAAGCCAGTAGTTGTGCTGTGGTTCAAGTGGTAGAGCGCTAGCCTTGAGCTGAAGAGCTGAGGGATAGTGCCCAGACCAAGTTCAGGCCCCATGACCAGCAAAAATAAAGTTCATTCTGTGTTGTAGCCATTATGATATAAATTTATAAAAATGTTTCAGTTATTTAACTTACCCATCTTTTCCTTTTTTCCTATTAATACAGCAAATCCTTTATTAGCATTGAGTAAATCATATCATTTTTATAAATATCAGCTGTCTCTTGCATTGTGGCAATAAAACACCTGAAAAAAGATTTTACTATAATAGTTAATAAGGGAATTTTCAAAAGTACTTAGTACCATGCATTGTATTTTAAAAAGTACTAAGTACCATGTATTGTATTTTAAGAGACTAAATAATAAGGTAGCTATATAGGTAGCATACTATAGGAAATATATACAGTTTATTTAAGGTTAAAGATGGATCCACGACTTGTGAATAATTATACAGATTAGGCGCAATGAATGTAAGTATGATTAAAAAAGGACTATGTGCCACTGAAATCTAACAAATAGTGTTTCCCATTACAATGTACCCAGTGTGATTTATTTGCTCAAGCAGTATAATCATTACATGTGAATTTAGAAGAAAACAAAAATTATTGATATATATATATATATTTGATATACAGCTCAATGATATCCGGTACCTGATCGAGAACATCTGGGCATCCCAGTCAATCCTCAGTGCCTGCAATGACATCGATGAGTTGGTCCTGGTCAGATGGGATAAGTCCATGGAGTGGGCCCCCTGGAACTGCATTCTTCTCACCAAAGATGAAGGCGCAGCTCATCTTAAGCTAAAAAATGTGGAAGAGGTTAGTAGTTGGACTTTTATTTGGATGTTACTTTTATCATTGGAATCAGAGGGCACCTGACTGACTGCATTGGAATACATTCCACAGATAATTTAAGTATTTCAGTTAGATTACAGATAGTAATGGATTAATCGTAAGAAAACATGGGGATGGTATATCTTTCAGAGATTAGAGTGAGATGGGAACAGGGCAATAAGAGATTGGAATATGTAAGTATTACCACATCATGGCATTCGTTTAGTCACTTCAAGAACATTCACTCCACAATATGTTCCACAAAGGCAAGGATTTCAGTACACTTACTTCCATCTTTATCTCTAATACCCATAGGTTAATGCTGCCCCCAGATTAGGAGTTTAATATTTGTTTGTTGAATAAATGTTGCTATCATAGGTGTTAGAGAACCCAGAGTCTGTCCTAGCTGATGAGTCACTAGGAAAGCATACTTATTGACATCATACAGATGTAGCTCCATTTGTTCAGTTGCTTCCAACTAGCTACATACTCTGCCATTTTAGCAACTTACAAATGTGTTCTGGAGACCATGTTAATGAACAAAAATGAGGGGCCCTAGAAGAGTTCCTAAGAGAGCGCCATTTACACTAAGCAAGTCTAGGCTCTTCAGTTGACTAAATAACCTTTAATCTCATGCAAGATGTCAACTAAGGAAAAATAAATAAATGGCATCAAGTGGGGCCATCATTTTGAATGGCACTATTCCCTGCCTATTATTTTTGAGGGAATGGTGGGAAAAGGATGTAAAGGACATAAACTAGTTAAAGTTTTGCAAGAGTGTTCAGAGTTTTCAGGAGCTAGCTTAGGAAAAATTCTACTCTGGGGATTAACAGAAAGCAGAGAAGAAATTGAAGCTGTGATAAATGTTATGTTTGGTAAATTAAGCTGACTCGTAAATATTTAATTACTGGAAGCATAGCCAATCCTAGCAATATCATTTCATCTAGGTCTCATAATGAAACTGAAGTTCATTCCCAAAGCTGATATTCCAGTGCTTCTTCAATTAATCCACAAAACTCCCTTTGTGTATTTAATCAATTTATTGCAGTATCAAATTAAATGTTCTATTCATATACATTTCCAATTTCAGGATGCCAATCGTTTTGAATTTCTGAAAATGGAGCAAAGGTTCTCAATGAGACAAGCTGAAAAATTATTTTTATGGTTTTCAGTTTATGTAATCATTTAAGTATTAATATTCAATCTAGTTAAAGAAGAGCTTCTCTTTTGCATAAAGTTAAAATGAATTTACCTAATGCCCAGAAACACTTACTTTTCCAATATATTAAACATATTTGAAATTTAAGGTAATTTAAAAATTACTTTATTGTTGTTATAGAAGGATGTACAGAGGGGTTACATTTACATGAGTCATGCAATAAGTACATCTCCCTTTATACAGTGTCATCTGTTCCCTCATTCTCTCCCATTCTCTCCCTCCCATCTCCACCCACAAGTTGTATAGTTTACTTTTTTTTTTTTTTTTTTGCTGGTTGTAGGGCCTGAAGTCTGGGCCTGGGCGCTGTCCCTCAGCTCTTCAGCTCAAGGCTAGCACTCTGCCACTTGAGCCACAGCGCCACTTCCAACTTTTTCTGCTTATGTGGTGCTGAGGAATCGAACCCAGGGCCTCATGCATGCAAGGCAAGCACTCTACCACTGAGCCACATTCCCAACCTGTATAGTTTACTTTTATCAATGTCCAGTATGATCCACTGCTCTACTTTATAGTAATTTTTGACTCCTTGTGAGCTTACAGACTACAGGAAAAAATGCCTCTGTGAACTCTAATGAAACAGATTGATTTCCCATAGTGTTCATATTGGCCAAAGTAGGAACAATTGTGGGGAGAAAACCAGCAGTCATGACTCAATTCTCATCCATCTTTTTTTTTTTTTTACTAAAATTCGTCACAGCAGTAAAACCTGCCTTTTTGTTTCATAGAGTTTTAGAATATTAGCTAACAGTATGAAATTAATAAAAATAATGAAACCATCCCTGATTTTGAATCTGAGTCTATCCTTTAAGGGCTCATATACTAAGTTCCAGCGCCCCAGTTTATGCATGTATAGAAAGGAGATAATGATGTCTCATAATAGGAAAACTTTGCCAATGAAATAGACACCTATTTAAAGTTTCCAAAATATTGTTTGGCACGAAGCAACCTTCACAGTACCTGTATATATGAAGTACTTAAATTTTATTTTTAATTGAAATAAAGACAGTACATTTTTGGTATAAAAATGAATGAAAAAAGTTTTGAAATAGAATGTAAGTTTCTTGATAAACATCAGGAATGTGCACATATGAGGGATGACTAATTTTATTCTGTGGAAGTTATTGAAATCATCCTGGAAATTTTTATGCTCTCATCCATGTCTATTTATCTATCTTTCATCTATCATCTATCATCTACCATTGTTTCAACCTCTATATGTATACATATTATATATATATGTGTGTGTGTGCATATGTAGCACTTATTTTATATAAATTACCTGCAACTTGGTTTGTTTGACAATAGATACCTTTCCATATTATATTATTCTATGATATACACACATATCATAGAATGTATATTCTATGTATATCACAGAATGCTTGACTTAACCTTAATAATTATTAACTTTATGGTTTTTTTCAAGGAAATATAAAGTTCTGTGTATGTATAGATGAGTACAGCATAACATAGACATATTATTTTTCCTTGAATGAAATATGGACTAAGAAATAGAGAACCAAAGAGTAGTACAAATATCTGAGTGTTTATCTGTTACATTTGTCTAAAAAGAGGAATCTTTACAGTAGATACTTGTATAACATATAAAACCCACTGTTATTTTTTAAGCCTTAGATCTTTCTTTCACCTTAGAGTTGACTTTGTGAAAAAGTCTTTAGTGGATGAATGTCTTTAAGAAAATAAACTTCAGGCAGAAGTCACTTAGTATTTGTGATTTGGTAGAAGAGAAGTCTCACTAAGAATAATAAAGAGGCTAGATAATACTTATTGATTTAACTAAAATTTACTTTTGGATGTTCTGAATACTATGCAAAGGACTTGGGGGAAAATGGAGTAAATATAATTCCTCATTATTACAGTTGCATTCAGACTCAGCTATTGTAACAAGAGGCAAATTATAAAGACTTAAGATGATATGGGTTTAGTTTTCTTATGTAATAAGAAGTTCCAAAATTGGGCAGCCTGGATCTTGAATGATATCTCCAGCATGTTCTCAGAAACCTAGGCCCTCTAAGTCTTCCCATGGTGGTCTTTAATCTCTGACTTTCACTTTTATGCTTGGTAGCTCTTTGTGGCAAGATTGTAGCTTCATCTCTTGCATTATGGTTAGTTCCCAGGTTTGGGGAAAAATTAAAGATGCTTATGATATGTGAAACCTTCTTTAAAAAGCATTTTTTTAATTGAGTGGATGAGTGGGATTGGGAGAGAGAGAAGAAAATATGAAATGGGTAACATTAATAAAGATGCATTGTGTTCAAAAACTGACATGTTGAATTGAAACCCCCTTGTACTTAAAGATAATAAACAATAAAAAAGTTTTACTATAAGCTTTATACAGGTGCCCAAGGGTGTGTGTGTGTGTGTGTGTGTATACATTTGTTACTTGTTATGTTGTTGTCTTTACTTAAAATAGAGGATAGAAAGAAAGCTGGTAACATCCTACCAGACATAAACCAAGCCTATAAATTGAAGTGAATGAGAATGATAGGATGTATAGGATTGGCACTCAATAGTGGCTTAGACTTAGGAAGTACAGTGTGAGATTCTGAAAAGGCTTCCAGGAGGAACTATCACAGGAACAGAGTTCTGAAAGAGAATATGCCAAATTTATTCTATGCTGAATGAACTGGTAAGCAAAGACATGGAGACATGTCAGCATCTTTATCTGAAAAAAAATCTGAGATTTAATAAAATTTGATATTATTTCTTTCCTTTTTGCAGGATTATGAACAGTTTTTTCTCCACAAGATCAAACACAAACATATCCTGGCTAAGAACTACTTTTCTCAGATTCCTCTGCTTGCTTCATTTATAGTTGACAATGATGAATTAGAAGAGGTCAGAAGTAAATACCGCATAGACACAACACCTAAAATGATCGAACCCAGGGGGACTTCCATATAGAAGATCCAGGAATATTTGTTTGATGATAAATGTTTGCTCACCACTGACAAAATAATACAGATGCCGTACGCTATGAAAATGAAACTTAATCTTTTTATTGACTTCATTATTTTTGTTTTTCATAGTTATTACAAGTTAGATGAAGAGAGACTATTCCTATACAAATTCTTCATTATTAATTAGTGTTTGATTGAACTACAGTTATGTTTCTGGAGTTAATAGTTCAAAGCAAAGAGGACATATTATTTTTAATATATTTTCCCATTACATTTTAAAAGACACCGTTAATGATTTATAGTGAACATTCAGCAATCAAAAAACCCTAGACATAACCTTTAACGTAATGTGCTTAAGATAAAATATAAGAGAGTGCTTAGCATATGAATGTGAGGAAGTATAGAATTCTTGAAAATACTTATAAGTAGGATAGGACTGTCTTCATTTCACTATTGAGATTTGAATCTTAGCCTTTTGTTGATGGCTTTCACCTTCCATTTCTCTCAAATCCCAGAAAAACAGCTGAAACCATAAACAACCTGCATTCACATTAGGAAACAAGGATCACTGTGCTATGGGGAAAATAAAAACTTCTGTGGGGTAATGGTGAAACTCTATAAGAGGAATGAACTTGAAGAAATCCACTTTAACAATAGTTCCTTGTCCAATGAACCAAAGGAATAATCTTGGCTGTATGTCTGTGAGGTATCTGTAATATAGTATATCAGTCATCTTAACAGAAAAGTGATGGGGCTGGGCACTGGTGGCTTGCTCATGCCTGTAATTCTAGCTACGCAAGATGCTGAGACCTGAGGATCGAGTTTCAGAGCCAGCTCAGTTTGGAAAGTCTTCAAGACTCTTATCTCCAATTAACTATCAAAAAGCAACAAGTGGCACTGTGACTCAAGTGATAGAATTCTAGTCTTGAACAATAAAGCTCAAGGAGGAAAGTTCCCAGGCCCTGAGTTCAAGCATGCTCTCTCTCTCTGTCTCTCTCTGTCTCTGTCTCTGTCTCTCTCTGTCTCTGCCTCTGTCTGTCTGTCTGTCTGTCTCTCTCTCTCTCTCTCACACACACACACACACACACACTAGAAAACTAAGCCAAACCAACCCCCCAAACAGAAAAGGAATGGCCTACTCAAAATCACACAGAGAAGTATTTATTTACAAAAGGGTCTATTATAATATTTAAGCATGGTACAGAGATCTGAAGTCCAGGATCAGTATCAGATATGCTGTATATACCCCTAGATGAAATTAATTTGGGAAGGGAAGCCATAGAAAAGGAAACTTAGAGGGTCTGTGATTATCTGTCAAGGGGATAGTCAGCACAAGGCAATATGATTTCACATATCTTCTTTTATCAGATCTACTGAGTAGGTTGACAAAATCTGAAAGGAAAACAAAAGACATAATTCATATGGCTTCATTGCAGGGAGCAGATCTAAATAGAAAGTATCTAGATAGCAAAAGAAACAGGAAGATCTACAATTCAAATAGCATTATTTTATTTACATACACTATTGCAGAAAGCCATTACTTTTTCTTCTAATTTTAATCAGTATTTAATAAAATTTAAGGATCAAGAATTTCAGTCCAAATATTCTATGGACATATTTGACAACATTTTAACAATACATTTTTAGGGTGTTCACAATTTTTCTCTACTTAACAAAAGCACAACACTTGCTAATTGTTCTTGAGCATTGAATATCTAGAAGAATGTGGTCTAACTTTATTCTTATAGACAGTCCAGACATTCTAAAAACTTTCTAAACAACAAATAAGAGATAAGACTGGGGAGAAATTAAACAAAGACATGTGCAAGTTTATACTAGATTGCCAGTATTCAGAATTTTAAAAGATAGATCAGGGGAATTTGAGAATTCTGAGAAAGAAGTGTTGGGAAGATAGTAAAAAACAGAGAGATAAGATCATATGAAGGAAAATTAGAATTCCTCTATTGACTCGCACGTGAACATAGACTATGAAATCTACTCATGAATGGAAGACTGTGGAATAAAATTGTGAAAAGTGAATAAGAAAACTGAGGCAAGAAAGAAAGATGAACAGGGAAGGAGGGACATTTATGCTCCTAGCTTCTTCCATCTGTTTCTTGGTCTGTTGACAGTGGCTGTGTTTCCACACCTAAGACCATAGCTCCACCTGAGTAGTCATTTTCCCATGCCTACAGCTCTCCTTGAATTCTGGGAATTTTTCCCTCTGCAGCTATAGCTTACAAGTGAACATCTCTCGTTTTTTTGTAGAAAAAAATTAAGGCTTGAAGTGCTTTTCTTTTTCTCACTGATTTTCATATATAGTGCCCTCTACTCCGTCAACAGCTCTTTTAGTAAATCCTTGTCAAGTTTATAATATTCAGCAGGTGGTAGCATCACATTACCCAAACTATCACCAGCAGTGGCACAGTATGAGGTACAGATGGAGAGGAAAGCACAAGCACAGCGGTTGAGACAATTAGTCACTGTGTTAGCCATCTTCCCACCATGGTGACAAAATAGCTGAGAAAAACTTAGAGAAATAACCACTTCTTTAGGCTCATGGCTTCCCAGGTTTTATTTAGTCCTTGGTTACCTGAGCCTGTGGTGAGGCAGTTCATCATGGTGGTGGAGGAGGCTCATCTTACGATAGACACAGCCAGGGAACAATAGAGAATGAGATGGGGACAATATATATCCCCCCACCCCCACCCCAGGGTATACCTTCACTGACTAACTCCCTGACATGAAGTGTAACTTCCTAGTTTCTACTACCTGCCGGTAATGCCATCAACTTGTGAATCCAGTAGTGGATTGATATATTGATGAGGTTAGAGCCCTCATGAGCCAATTACTTCCCAAATGTCTGGTCATGTGACAAACCAAGCCTTTACCCATGACATTTCAGGGGATTTTAGATTCAAACTGTAACAATTACTGTGATGATAAAGATGATGGCATAGTTTGAGTGTTTTTTCCACCTAGGGTTCACAAAATGGATGTCAGCAGTCTTGAATATCCAACTTAATGTTCTGATTTAAATATATATATTAGGAGACCTTTATGACCACTGCAGAGAGATTCCTTCTCTTCAGTATTTTCAGGGCAGATGTGATTAAGGATTAATTGGGGGAACTGATTGTAATGTTTGTAAGTTGGTATTGTCTATTAAATGTCCAGTTTGGTTAGATATCATGGATTAGAATACAGGTGAGGGAATGTGGCCTGGGATAAATGAAACTGTGCACTGGGAAAGTTGTAGGATCTTTGAATTTTTTTTGTTGGCCATGGGCCTGCTCCACCACTAGTGCCACTTCCCACTTTTCCTGCTTATGTGGTGCTGAGGAATCAAACTCAGGGGCATTCTACCACTGAGTCACCTTCCCAGCCCAATCTTTGCAATTTTGATTCTTAATGAAGAGAGCATATCTACAAGTATATTCTGAGGATATTGGACCAACAGGAATAACATAAAAGGTTATGCCAAGCTGAATTTATGTTCTTGCCTGGCTAGAATGCCAACTGAAACTTAAACATGGCAACATAGCCTGCACCAATGATCTTGAGATGCCAGAATGTCCAGAAAACTTTCAAGATTCAACAGTGTGGGTGGCTGGGTTAATTCTATCATGCAAGTTTCTTAGACACTTCCAAGAGATGTCTTACGAATGCAAGGAGATTCAGAAATGTCTTAGGATGAGCATGGTGACTCAGGCTTGCCATCTGAGCACTCAGTAAGCAGAGGCATGGAAATCATGAGTTCAAGTCCCTGGATGGGGTACATGTAGACAGTTCATTAAAAAAGAAAGCGGGAAGGAAGGAAGAAGGAAAAGAAAGAAAGAAAACAAGAAAATGAAAGAAATGCCTTAAGACCAAATGTACCACCCCCTATGACTACTTAAATAAAATTCTTTAGTGAGCTAGTTTGAAAAGGGATCTAGACACCCAAGGGTCATTATTGTCACTATGTTATAACTTCACGTGGGATAACACAAGATAGAGAGAAACAGAGGCAGACAGAGTGAGAGACAAAGAGAACTCTCATGAGGAAAGTTTTAGACAGTAGATCTGGTTGTCTTTGTTTTTATAGAATGGAGATGGTTAGTAGTATGTATCTACAGACATCCATAGCAGTGTCTGAAAAGTTGACCAAATGAAAAGAAATGTAGAAAGAAGAATATTAGAAAAATGATGTCAAGGAGTCTGGAGGAGGGTAGACACCCTCCACCCCCCTCATGGAAATGGACTCTATGATGCACCCACTACTGGGGAGATTATTGCTAATCAAAGGGACAAGGGGCTTCTTCCGTGTGTCAGCTGCTTTTGCCTAGCCTTCCTAATGTTTGCTTAATGGACCATTTACAAAGCAACTGTCAGAGTGAAAAGAGCTTGTCTCTGGGCTTAATAGAGTGTTCTCTTCACCTCAGCTGAATTTGCTACCATTATAGTTGGGTTCATAATGTAAGCATAGACCAATAACAAACCATATATCCTGTGGAAAGAAGTAGGTTATCTGGTGGCTGAGTGCACTGAATCTTTTCCATTATGAGGTGGGGAGAAACTTGTTCTATATGGATAGATACTTGGTATGTGTGTTGATTTTTCTTCTTGGTTTAATGGATTTCTGTCCACACCATCACCCATCAACATACAGAAATCCCAACACATCTCCATGGTATCACATATGACATTGCATTCAACAAAGGAACTCATTTTACAGGAAAGTAAGTGAATCAGTGGCTCTCAGTCAGATTTTCCTGATCTTGTAATGTCCCTATCACTTTTAGAAGTCTGGCTTGATAAAATGAAATGATCTGCAAAAGTATCATTTATGGCACCATCTGGTTGACAACACCACCTTAGTGTTGGACTGTGGAGGTCATGTGTGGCTGACACCACTGGCTGATAGGTGGCGGTGTCTTCTTCACACTCTGAGTACAGAGGTTGAGAAATGCTGAATAAAACAGTCTAAGTTGATGTTATCTGTTCTGTCTTCAGAATGCACCA